ATTTATAAATTCGTACGTACACTGAGCTTCTGTTATTCTCGTTACAGTTATTTATAACTTCGTACGTACACTGAGCTTCTGTAACTCCGATAAAGTGTTGTTTGCATTATGTTCTGGTTGCTGATTTTGTTATATGTAGTGATTATTGGTTTTTATTAACTTAGGCTTGTGAACTCTGGAGGAGTAAGATTTCTTAAACATTTGGACTTCTCTGGGTGTAGTGGATTAACTGATCTTGGACTTTATAGACTTGCTGAAAGCATGATCCTCAAACCAGCACCACAGACAGTTAATGAACTGTGTCAGAAATCATGGGGAAAAAACGTTTTATATAACAATGAAGAACAATTTCTACATAAAGCTGAGAACAAAAGTAATCCCCATTGGAACTTTAATTGTGATTCTCAGTGTGATATTTATAGATGTGCACATCTTGTCAGAAGGAGTGGAGGCACTTCGTTATCCCAGTTAGAAAAGTTGTCTATGCATTGTCCTTTCCGTACCACATATCAGTGTTGCTGCAATGGTTATAACCACGAAACGGTGAAACAAATTTCAGAAGTTTATCAAGATATTGATGTTAATTATCATTCTGGAATTTCCAGCAGTTTGGAATTCCTGAGCCTTTCTGGTTGTTACAAAATCACAGACAGAGGTTTGAGGTATGTTTTTATTTTTTGTACTAACTTTATGTTTTACATTGAGCACAGATATCCATGTGAAATACTTGGAAAGTATTTTGAAATCGAAGTGTGAAATATGCAGTTTTATTGTCATACATAGATGTTTATAAAATTTGCTAATTGAGTGCTAATCTCTAATATATATAAAAATAAGTCAGTAGCATTCTTAATCTAAGAACTGAGTGGTAAACTTTTTAATGTCAGTGATTTATCAATTACTTAAGAACCAGTATTACATGTAAACATGCTTCTAATAAGAATATGTCATTGATAAATGTAGTATTTAAGATGTTTTACTGGATGTCATGTTAATTAGATAAATAAAACAAGTCAGAAGTTTATTCAAATTTAATGACAATTTTTTTCCATTTCTGGCTCCTTAACAAACTGCTGAACGTTGTCATTAAGTTTAGATTGTTGACTCTTATGTATTGAAATTTATTAATTTTCTGAATTTATAGTTCATCATATACATTTTAGGTTTTTATCCCACCCAAAGTGTTGTAGCTGTCTAAATATATTGAGGATTGTAACTTGAGATTTGACTTCAGCATCAAGATATGTAATATCCTGTTCCATGTCTGTGAGAACACGTGCAAGTTGTGCTCCATACTAGCTTACTTATTGTTTCATCTATTGAGTTTACTTATTAATTTGTTATTATGTGTCAAAGGTACACCTACCTGGTGATTATTGTTTATTAAATATAGTCATTTTCATATTGTCTTCATAGATTCATGATTTTGATCGTGGTTTAAATTATTATTAATTTTTATTTTTACTTGGTTGGTAAAGCTTTCACGACTTTAAGAAAACTCTTCAGCCAGTTTCTTTTTTTTTTACAGGTTATGATGTATAGGAGGCAATCGAAGTCTTGCTCTCTTTAATGTAACAAAACTCTAGAGTATATATACTGATTTTAAACCTTTGGTCTTTGCTTATCATAGTTAGATGACTATTGTCTGAATATTTTGATTATATATTAAAATGGTTTCTTTTTCTGAAAATTCTCTTCATTGTACATATTTCATAATTGTTTTTGTTTCTTGAATTACCTACCTTTCTATTACACACTTCTTTCATTATTTGTCTAGTTTTCATATCAACTGTGGTTTCTTAAATTGTGCTTCCTCACTTTAATACACTACTTTTATTATATAGTTAGATTTTATAGTGATTCTGGTTCTTTAATATACCTTCCAGAGTATCTTGTGTGAGATTTTCTGTTAAGAGTTGTTTTGTTTTTTTCAGGTTTGTGTGCTAATTCTGTTCTCTGTATCATTAGTACTGTTTTATGTGTACTTATTGCCATGTTTGCAATAAGTGGAGCTCTCCTTGTCCTACGTAATTTACAGGAGCTATGCTAGTCCTAGGTTACTTACTGGAGCTATGCTAGTCCTTGGTTACTTACTGGAGCTATGCTTGTCCTAGGTTACTTACTGAAGCTATCCTTGTCCTAGGTAATTTACTGGAGCTATGCTAGTCCTAGGTTACTTACTGGAGCTATGCTAGTCCTTGGTTACTTACTGGAGCTATGCT